TGTCTCTTGTAACATGCTTTATTTTAAAGTCTATTTTATCTGATATGAGTATTGCTACTCCAGCTTTCTTTTGATTTCCATTTGCATGGAATATCTTTTTCCATCTCCTCACTTTCAGTCTGTATGTGTCCCTAGGTCTGAACTGGGTCTCTTGTAGGCAGCATATATATGGGTCTTGTTTTTGCATCCATTCAGCAAGCCTGTGCCTTTTGGTTGGAGCATTTAATCCATTCACATTTAAGGTAGTTATCGATATGTAGGTTCCTATTACCATTTTCTTAATTGTTTTGGGGTTGTTTTTGTAGGTTCTTGTCCTCTGTTGTGTTTCCCACTTAGAGACGTTCCTTTAGCATTTGTTGTAGAGCTGGTTTGGTGGTGCTGAATTCTCTTAGCTTTTGCTTGTCTGTAAAGCTTTTGATTTCTCCATCGAATCTGAATGAGATCCTTGCCGGGTAGACTAATCTTGGTTGTAGGTTCTTCCCTTTCATCACTTTAAGTATATCATGCCACTCCCTTCTGGCTCGTAGAGTTTCTGCTGAGAAATCAGCTGTTAACCTTATGGGAGTTCCTTTGTATGTTATTTGTCGTTCTTCCCTTGCTGCTTTCAGTAATTTTTCTTTGTCTTTAATTTTTGCCAGTTTGATTACTATGTGTCTCGGCGGGTTTCTCCTTGGGTTTATCCTGTATGGGACTCACTGTGCTTCCTGGACTTGGGTGGCTATTTCCTTTCCCATGTTAGGGAAGTTTTCGACTATAATCTCTTCAAATATTTTCTCAGGTCCTTTCTCTCTCTCTTCTCCTTCTGGGACCCCTATAATGCGAATGTTGTTGCGTTTAATGATGTCCCAGAGGTCTCTTAGGCTGTCTTCATTTCTTTTCATTCTTTTTTCTTTATTCTGTTCTGCAGCAGTGAATTCCGCCATTCTGTCTTCCAGGTGACTTATCCCTTCTTCCACCTCAGGTATTCTGCTATTGATTCCTTCTAGTGTAGTTTTCATTTCAGTTATCGTATTGTTCATCTCTGTTTGTTTGTTCTTTAATTCTTCTAGGTCTTTGTTAAACATCTCTTGCATCTCCTCGATCTTTGCCTCCATTCTTTTTCTGAGGTCCTGGTTCATCTTCACTATCATTATTCTGAATTCTTTTTCTGGAATGTTGCCTATCTCCACTTCATTTAGTTGTTTTTCTGGGGTTTTATCTTGTTCCTTCATCTGGTACATAGCCCTCTGCCTTTTCATCTTGTCTTTCTGTGAATGTGGTTTTTGTTCCACAGGCTGCAGGGTTGTAGTTCTTCTTGCTTCTGCTGTCTGCCCTCTGGTGAATGAGGCTATCTAAGAGGCTTGTGTAAGTTTCCTGATCTCTTTTCTTAAAAAAATTGAAATGTAGAGAAATTATTTGAGCCTAGCATCAAATGCAAATCAAAGGAGATTTTTAAAAAATAGAATTCACAGTTTTTCTGCCTGCACTTTCAGTGTTCGTTAAAAACACACAGATTCGGGACTTCCCTGGTGGCGCAGTGGTTAAGAATCTGCCTGCCACTGCGGGGGACATGGATTCAAGCCCTGGTCCGGGAAGATCCCACATGCCACAGAGCAACTAAGCCCGTGCACCACAACTACTGAGCCTGCGCTCTAGAGCCCATGAGCCACAACTACTGAGTCCACGTGCCACAACTACTGAGCCTGTGCACACCACAACTACTGAAGCCCATGCTCTGCAACAAGGGAAGCCACGTCAACGAGAAGCCCGCGCACCGCAACGAAGAGTAGCCCCCGCTCTCTGCAACTAGACAGAGCCCGCACACAACAAGGAAGACCCAACCCAGCCAAATATAAAATAAATTTAAAAAAATAAATAAAAGCACACAGATTCAAAAAAATGAATAAAAATTTAAAAATAAAATAAAACCACACAGATTTAAATATTTATGTATCTTCCAGAGCCACTTGTAGAAGCCTCGGCCTCTGAGAGAACATCAGGGAATATCATCTCCAAAGAGACAAAGTCCCAGAGAGAAGCTCCTCCAATGCTGGGGTCACCACACCTCCTAAACCCCTCTGGTTCTTTAGGCTGCTGGTCGCTTGTGAAATATTTACTGAATGCACCTGCCACGTGCAAGGCACAATTACGGAGTTGGGTTTTCTTAAATCTTCAAAACTACCTGGGACAGATTATCATCCCTGGTTACAGGGCTGGTCAGTGACAGAGGGGGATTTGAACCCAGGTCTGTGTGATTCCAACCTCCGTGCCCCTTCTGTCGCTCTGGGCGTCTTCCTGCTCTTGAGTTGTCTGAACGTGGCTGAGCCACCCGAGTGATGTCACCGTCATTGTCATTCCAACCAAGTGTCGGAGGCCTGGTCCCTGAGACAGGTACCAGGCCAGCATTTACTCGGAGTTCATGGTGAGTCTGGACTGTGTCAAGCCCTGTACAGGCACACACTTGCTTGATTCCAAAAAAGCAGGACGAGGTAGCTAGCCATCATCATCCCCATTTTGCAGATGAGGAAATTATGATCAGAGAGGTCAACACTTGCCCGAGGTGACATGCTGGCCAGTGGAGCTGGACTGTCTCCTGGGCAGTGCTGACAATGAGGGTAAAATGAGGCTTGTGGCCGAGAGTGCGTATCCAGTCGTCCACACCGTGGCGCTAAGTGCACGTACACTTGGATTGGTGTCCTGAGCTCTGACTGACAGATGCTCGCGGAGCAGCCCCTGGGTACCAGGCCCTGGTCTTGCCTTCTGGAGGGGCTGTGTCATGAGCAGATGGCGGCATCCGAGTGATAATCACTTGCTGGTCATGTTGCAAATGAAAGTTGTGTAAGTGCCGTCAAGGAGACCTCCAGGGTGCCGAGAGGGTAGAGCAAGGTAACTCAGCTGGTCTGGGAAGACATCAGGACAGGACCCCCACCTATTTCTTTCTTCAAAAAAATTTTTTATTTAATATTTATTTATTATTTATTAAATATTTATTATTTTAAATGTTTATTTATTTGGCTGTGCTGGGTCTTAGTTGTGGCACACAGGATCTTCCTTGCCGTGTGCGGGATCTTTTAGTTGCGGTATGTGAACTCTTAGTTGCAGCACGCGGGATCTAGTTCCCTGACCGGGGATCGAACCTGGGCCCCCTGCATTGGGAGCGTGGAGTCTTAACCACTGGACCGCCAGGGAAGTCCCCCATCATCTATTTCTAAAGCAGGTCTTCTCGCCCTCAGCTGGATGGACGTTTCTTTTCCAGGTCATTCCTTGTAGGATGCTTGGCAGCACAAGTGGCCTCTACCCACTAGATGCCAGTAGCACCCCTGACCCCCATTATGACAACCAAACATGTCTCCAGACAGTGGCAGAGTCCCCCAGGAGGCAAAACTGCCCTTGGTTGAGAACCCTGGATTTAAAGTTTGGTTTGGCAGTCGGGAGAGTGTACCATCTTCTGCAGGGGCACCGGAGCAGTCCACTCCTGGGGACACAGGACTCCTCCAGTGGGCAGTGGAATTTTTAGCTAGTATGCTGCTGCCCCACCCGAGGCCAGGAGAGCATGGAGGGTGGGTGTGAGGCGGGGTCTGCTGCAGCCATATTGGAGACGGTTGGGTACTGCCCTGTAACTGGAGTCTATCCAGATGTTTCCAGCATGGGGTGTATGTGTGTGTGTGTGTGTGTGAGAGAGAGACAGACAGACAGACAGACAGAAAGAGACAGAGAGCAGAAGGGAGAGGAGGGGGCAAGATTGATACCTTCAGGGTTGCTTGAGATGCTGCATAAAAAGTGAGTTGAGTGTGGTCATGCCAAACAGAAATGGTCAGCTGGAGAACACCAGGCAGGCAGGTCCTGTAACCCCAGGACTGTGTCCATCCGCAGTGTGATCAAGGATTGAGCACTTGATTTGGTACCACTGAACCAGGTCTTGAGAGCAGAAAAAACATCCTGTCTCGGCTGTGACATGCATTTCTCTGGGAAGTGGATCTTGCACAGTGAAGAAAGTAAGCTTGACTTAAGCAGAGAGAGTCTGTCGAGTGATATGTGTAATAATCATTGGTTGCTTCCTGGTCACTGGCATGGTGAGAAGCACCCCCCGGAAGTGGGTGTGGTTAGCAGTGCATTTCTAAGCAAACAAGGCGTTTGGGAGATGGGGGGGGTGGGTGCGGGGAATGGCAAGAAGTAACAGAGGAATTTACCGTCTCTGTTCCAGCTGAAGGAAGAGGTTAGCCAATGCCACTCCCCTTCCTCCTTCCCAGTGCCAGACTACCTGGTGGAAAAGGAAAAGATGATTATCATGTTCTAGGGGTAAGAATACTAGGAATAATTTTGCAAAAATACTCAGCGTTTTCCTAATTATGAGGTCTCCTCTGTGTTCCCGTGTCCTCCCACACCCTTCAGGTGTTTCAGGTGGCTTCTTCCCAGACCTGCTAGACACCCATACCCTGGCCGGCTTCCCCCCTCTTCTTAGGTTATTGCAGACATCTCCTAGCACAGGCTGTGATATCGCCAGTCACCATCAGGGGGCACTCTCTGTAGTATGGGGCAAACTTAACAGAATCCCAGACGTTCAGAGTCCAGGGTTCTAAGCCTGTGCATTGTTGCCTTGTTCTGTCAGCTTTGTGAGTTCCGGTGCTTGCATCTGTAACAGCCAACAACTGGAAACAATCCATCAGCAGTAGAACAGATAAAGAAATTGTGCTATAGTCTTCTGGCGGTATATTATGCAGCCATGAAAATTAGCGAACCATCACTACACACATCATGCATGAACCTCACTAATAACCTTGAGTCAAAAGCATATATATTGCATGTTACCATTTACACAGAGTTCAAACCCCAGCAAAACAAATCTCCTGGGGGCTGGTAACGTCTGTTTCTTGATTTGGAGGCTGGTTATATGGGTCAGTTGGTGAAAATTCGAGCTGTACAGTTAAGATCTGCACACTTTCTCTTTGTATATTATACTTTAAAAAGACATATCAGTACAAAACCTGTGTGCCTAATAGCAATCCTGCTTTTTTTCACAGATTGACGGACAAAATGAGTTGAAAGCCATCGAGAAAGAGAAGACGGTGGTCGCTCTGCCCGCCAAGGAAGCAAGCAAATGCCACAGAGAGGATCTGGCCAAAGCATTTTATGTAAGAATTGAATTTGTATCTGATGCCAGGTGCGGTAGGGTTTTTAGATTAAGGAGAAAGCAGTACAAAGTCCTGAAAGTGGCTTTAGAATTCTGTGCCGTAGTACCTTTTTATCATCACTGCTAGAAAATACTATCGCCGTTGAGCCATTCTGATTTCCACCAGGAGTGGCATCCACGTTAATGGCAGTGGCGCTAATCGTCAAGGCCCTTCCTAGCAGCCAGGATCCTCCCAGCTCTCTGTGTACCTGTTGATGGGAGACAGAGGATGTGTCAGGGGACCCACACGGTTCCACAGCAGCACAGCCAGAGTTGAGTCCAGGTGTTTTGACATCAAAGCTCAAACTCTTCACCATGTGCTGTGCACACCCTTCATCTTTTCTAATCCATGGTGTTTCCAGTGACCGAAAACAAATCTCACCGGTTTCTCCAGCGAATTTGAATTCCTGGTCAGTACAAGGCAAAACCCAAACCAAAAAACCACTTCCGTTCCATGAGGCTCCCCTCTGAGGCTGAAGGACTTTGCTTGCTTTATGTTTTTAATTATCTTTACTTAGATAACTGAGCACACATGGGGGTGTGTGTGTGTGTGTGTGTGTGTGTGTGTGTGTGTGTGTGTGTGTG